ATTTGAGATGATGGAGATGAATAGTGATCACAAAATATAAAAACTCTAAATAGGTCATTTAAAATGATTAAATCAGACAACATACTCAACTGAGTAAGGAGCTTTGGTGGTGTACTAGTTATGAGTCCGGCTGCCAACCTCAAGGTTAGCAGTTTGAAACTACCAACTGCTCTGTGGGAGAAAGATGAGACTTTCTGCTCCAGTAAAGGTTTACAGCTTCAAAATCCTATACGGGGTCTCTATGAGTTGTAGTGGACTCCATGGCACAGAGCTACCACCACCACCAATCAAACTGGATACAAAGTAACATGAAAACAAAAGATGGAAACCACATAAAAATGATATGTTAACAAAAAGTGCAACAGATATAAATCCTTAGCTTAAAATAAATGGATGAATCCTTGTTTCATGTAATGGCTGACTTTTCAATCTGGACCATGACTTGAACAAATGTATTTCCAAGAGCTAAAGATGAAGAAGAAAAAGTCAAACAATCTCTTTGTAGATTTGCAGCCTAATTGTGAGTCATCAAGTTTTAAGCTTGGATTAAGATTTGTACAGGTTAATAATTAGGGATTTGAAAGAAATCAAACAAAAGTCCTTTCCATAGAATAATAATAACATTATTCCAGGTCAGAATATTTAATAGTTCAGCAAGTACAATGTCTACAACATAGTTGCTGATTAGTAGACATATTAGAAGAAAATATACTGGGGGGATATGTGATAAATATGAAGACCACACACTAACTCCTACTGCTTCAGAGGATGGAATACAAGGCACAAACTGTAACAACATGACCTTCAAAGAAACAAAAGATTATAAACAATTACAGAAAACTCTAAATGTAGATTAGGGAAAAAAAATCAAATCATTTGAATTCTAGAAGAATCATAGAGTATATATATATATATAAAATCATAGTAACCAACCTTCAAATTAATAGGGACATTTCAAAGGTGAAAACAAAATGTAACAGAAAAGTCTGGATAAACTGAAAACACTTACAAATAGGGAAGATATAAAAATAAATGTTTTTACATAAAATAAATGGACTTCAAAGAGCCAGACACAAAATACTATACATTGTATAATTTCATTCATATGAAAATTCCAGAATGAGCAAATCTAGTGAGAAAGAAAGTACATTAGTGGTTGCCTAAGGCTGGGAAATTAAGCATCACTGGTAAAGAAGTAGAATTTTCTCCTTTTATGTGGAAGGCCAGTGTTCATTCCTGGTCAATGCATGTTGTGTACATCCACCACACACTTTGTAAGACAGACTAGATAGAAAGACCTGGTTATCTGCTGCTGAAAATCAGCTAATAAAAAGTTCATGAGCCGTAATAGTTTGATTCATAGCCTATCATGGGGATAGAACAGTATCAAGTAGCATTTAATTCATGATTGCCATGTATTCAGGCACTAACTACACAGCAGCAAACAGCAATAAAATTAATAAAGCTAGGAAGAAAGAGATGAATGGAGTGACTGCTAATGGGTGCAAGGCTCCTTTCAGGGTTATAAAGTATTCTAAAATTAGACTATGATAACAAATGCATAACTTTATATAGACTTCAAAATTTTGAATCTTATGCAAATTTGGTGAAATTTATAATATGTAACTTTTATATTAATGAAGCTGTTTTTTTTTTTTAATTGTCTAAATAAAGAAGTCAAAATATTTAAGATTAGATAATATATTAAAAAAAACCCTCAAAGTTAGTAAATTGAATGCAGGATATGAATTAAGAAACCATGAGTTAATAATTTTATAAACAGTTGTTGTTGTTGTTGTTAGGTGCCATTGAGTTGGTACTGACCCATAGCAACCTTATGCACAGCAGAATGAAACACTTCCCAGTCCTGGGCTAACCTCAGTACTGTTGCCACGCTCGAGTCCATTGATGCTGCCACTTGGTCAATCCATCTCATTGGGGGTCTTCCTCTTTTTCTCTGACCCTCCACCTTACCAAACATGATATCCTTCTCCAGTGACGGGTCCCTCCTGACAATATGTCCAAAGTATGAGAGACAAAGTTTGGCCAATCTTGGTCTCCAAGGAACACTCTGGCTGCACTTCCTCTAAAACAGATTTATTGGTTCTTTTGGCAGCCATGGCACTTTCAATGTTCTTCTCCAACACCATAACTCAAAAGCATCAATTCTTCTATGGTCTTCCTTATTCACTGTCCAACTATCGCATGCATGCATATGAGGTTATTAAAAATACCATGGCTTGGGTCAGGTGCATCTTAGTCCTCAAGCTGACATCTTTGCTCTTCAACACTTTAAAAAGGTCTTGTGCAGCAGATTTGCCTAATGCATTACGTCATTTGATTTCTTGACTGCTGCTTCCGTGAGTATTGATAGTTGATCCAAGAAGAATGTAAGTCCTTGACAACTTCAATCTTTTCTCCGCTGATAAGACAGTTGTTTATTAGTCCAGTGGTGAGGATTTGTATTTTCTTTATATTGAGATATAATCTATAGCGAAGGCTATGCTCTTTGATCTTCATCAGTAAATGTTTTAAGTCTTCTTCACTTTCAGAAAGCAAAGTTGTGTCATCTGCATATTGCAGGTTGTTAATGCTTTTTCATATTTTAAAGAAGTCTTTTGCAGCAGATTTGCCCAATGCAATATGTCATTTTCTTTTTTGACTGCTGCTTTCATAAACACTGATTTTGGATCCAAGTAAAATGAAATCTTAGACATCTTCAATCTGTTCTACATGTATTATGATGTGCTTGTTGGGTAAATCATGAGGATTTTTGTTTCTCTTACATTGAGTTGTAATCCATACTGAAGACTGTATCTTTTGATCTCCATTAATAAGTGCTTCAAGTCTTTGCTTTCAACAAGCAAAGTTGTGTCATCTGCATGTTGCAGTTTGTTAATGAGACTTCTTCTAGTTCTGATGCCTCCTTCTTCTTCAATATTTTCCAGTTTCTCAGATTATTTGTTCAGCATAGAGATTGAAAAAGTATGGTCAAATGATACAACCCTGATACACTCCTTTCCTGATTTTAAACCATTCGATATCTTCTTATTCTTTTCATAAAACTGCCTCTTTGTTTATGCATAGCTTCCACATGAGCACAATTAAGTGTTTTGGAATGCCCATTCTTCACAATGTTATCCATCATTTGCATGATCTACAAAGTCTAATGTCTTTGAGTAGTCAATAAAACACATGCAAACATCTTTCTGGTATTCTTAGTTTTCAACCAAGATCCATCAGACATCAGGAAAGATAACCCTCATTCTACATACTCTCTGAATGTGACTAGAATTTCTGGCATCTCCCTGTAGATATGCTGCTACAACTATTATTGTATTATCTTCAGCAAAAGTTGACTTGCATGTAGTTAACTTTAAGAAAACCCAAAACTCCTTGACTTTACATTTTTCACTAGCGGATGACATAGCCTTAACAAGACAGAATATAGATGAATATGTTAGGAAAATTAACCAATGGTTAATTGAACTAACAAAAGTTACCCTAAACATTACAGAGAAATAACAGATATGACTTTAAAAAGTAATTTATTAAATTTATTAAAATAAATTGAAACTAAGTTTATTTTCATTGAAAAATTAAAGAAGAGGATTGGGTAATTGTAGTAGCATAGTACTGCGAGGACATTTTTGTGATTCCCATTATATATTGAAATTTAAGATGGTCTGATCAACACAGAAGCGAGGAAAATAAAAGTTTTTGATCATTGTCAACTCAATATGCATTATAAATGTTTATATTTGTCTGTGTGCAAGTTAATTTCTTTTTATATTCTTAGATTCCTGGTATGACACTATAGGAAAGGCACTTAACCACAAGTTCAGTTTAAGTCACAAGGTAAGGGGTTCAAATTTACTGTCTGGTCCTCAGAAACTCTATACAGGGTCTCTATGTAGCAGAACCAACTCGAAGACACTTAGTAACAACAACATATGATTGTTTCTTTTTTACATCTTAAAGTACATGGGAGAAGGTTTGTTGTTGTTGTTGTTAAGTGAAGTGGAGTTGGTTCTGACCCATAGCAACCCTTATAGGGTTTCCAAGGAGCAGCTGGTGAGTTTGAACCTCTGACCTTGCAGTTCAAATGGCTTTGCAGTCTGGTGCATTAACCCACAGCACTACATCAAGAATCACTAAAATGATAACTGGCCCAAATTAAATGCCCAGTGCTGATTTCAGCGTAGGATAAGTATTGGACTGCTAACCATAAGGCTGTCACTTCAAACCCACTAGCTGCTTCCATGGAAAAAGATGAGGCTTTTTGTTCCTTTAAAGAGTTAGATATTAAGATATCCTATACAGAGTCACTAAGGAGCTCTTGTAGTATAGCAGTTATGAACCAGGCTGCAAATCTCAAGGTCAGCAGTTCAAAACTACCAGCTGTTCTGTGAGAGAAAGATGAGGCTTTCTGCTCCCCCGACTCCATAGCTCATAACCACCACCACCACCATACAGGGTCACTATGAGTAAGAAACTGACTGGACAGTATTTAACAGTAGCAACAGCAAATATTTGTTAGGTGAATCAGTGAATATATCATTTTAGAAGATTTAATTAGAAGAAGCAAAGGTGATTATTACCTATTGGACAATGTAATGATTCATTAACATTTTTTTTGGACAATGTAATGATTCATTAACATTTTTTTCTTTTGATATTTTTAAGTTGGAGATATGATTTAATTATATTTTATATTTAAATTTCTGGCATTACCCACTTGGAGATGAAAAAAGAATTTAAATTTCAGTGTCCGTGGTTCAAGCTCACCAGCTGCTCCTTGGAAACCCTATGAAATAGGGTCACTATGGATTAGAATTGACTCGACAGCACTTAACAACAACAACAATATGGAAGAATGTTTGTGAGACAATGAGTGTATAGGACAGAATAGCGGAGACAGCATTTTGAAAGAGATAACTTGTTTAGAGAGTTTGGGAAGCTCACTATAAGAGTAATTTTAAGTTCTAACTCCCGTTCTCTCATTTCTTGAAAAATATTATAATTCTTTTGATTGAGTCATTGAAGGCTTGTTTTACTTGCTTGTTTCTCAGTGTGTAGATGAAGGGGTTCAGCATAGGAGCAATGGAAGTCATGAGGACTGTCACACTTTTATTGATGGCCACAGATTCCTTTGCTGAAGGTTTGATGTAGACGAAGATGCAGCTGCCATAGGTGATGGAAACCACAATCATGTGGGAAGAACAGGTAGAAAACGCTTTATTCTTTTGTTGAGCGGATGGAAATCCTACAATTGTCTTGATGATATAAATGTAGGACAGAATGACACACAGAAGTGTTATGATGAGGGTCAGCACAGCACAGATTATAACAGTCTGTTCCATGAACCAAGTGTTTGAACAGGAGATCTTCAGGAGGGGAGATGCATCACAGATAAAATGATCAATAGTGTCAGAATCACAAAATTCTAGATTTAATCCCTGACTTAATGGGGGTATTAGAATACACAGACCAGCCACCCAACAGCACAAGACTATTCTTCTGCAGACTGTGGTATTCATGATGGTCACATAATGCAGAGGTTTGCAGATGGCCACGTAGCGGTCATAGGACATGGCAGCCAGGAGGAAAAATTCTGTTACTCCACAGAGGTCAGTAAAAAACACTTGGATGACACAAGCATTATAAGTAATGACCTTGTCACCTGTTGCTATGTTATACAAGTATCTGGGGATACAGGCAGATGTGAATGAGATCTCTAACAAGGAGAAATTTTGTAGAAAAAAGTACATAGCTGTTTTAAGGTGAGAATTCAGTAAGATGAGTGTGATGATTGTCAAATTCCCAGTTATACTCAGCATGTAGCTGAGAAAGAAAAAGATAAACACCAAAACCTGCAGTTGTGGGTCATCTGTCAGTCCCAGCAGAATGAATGCTGTTACTGTATGGTTTCTCTTCATGACTCTTGACTTGGGTCCAATCTGCATGTAATATTCAGGGACATTTTATTACATAATTTTAACAATATTATACCCATCATGCTCAGATTTTTCTATTCATTAAAATTTATTATTAAAAATTTTAGCTCTTTAAATACATACTCTGAATAGGATTGCCTTTAAGGGCTATTAGTGTCTCACTTTATAAGAAGAAAAAAAAGATCCTTTGACCCCTTTCTGAGTTTGTGCATAAAACGTATTTTCTTCTGTGAACAGCTCTAAGCGCGACATGCACATACACGTGCATGCATTCACACATACCATCTCCAACTCTCCACCTGAATTCTTCTTAGCTTTCTCATCCCTAAGCAATTATTCATAGTCCCTGTTGGTTTAGTGTATTTTAATCTTTAGTTAAAAGTATTAGGTTTATCCTTTTATGAAATGTTCCCGCAAATTAGCTTCAAACACAGCACATCTATAAATGACATATATTTTTCTCGCTTTTACCTGTTGTTATTTGTTAGTATAATCTTCATCCGTATTCGCCCTTCATAGTGGTCACATTCCCTCTGTATTTTCATCAGTTGCTATGCTTTAATTTTTAAATGAGTGTCTCTAGGCTTGTCTTCATCAATGAATTGTTATATATTTTCATTCGATAATTGCTATATATGGAAGTCCCAATTGATTTGTAAGTAAACTCACTATCATGTAAATCTTTACATTCTTTTGTGGATATGGGATAGGTTCATCTCTGACTACCTAAAATGTGAACACAGTTATGGCCTTATGGGCACAGTCTCTAACATAAAGGAGAAATTATCTGGCTCATGGTTTTCCTTAGAGTTTATGGACACACTGAACAATTATATTATGTTAAATTGATATGGAATTGAAGTATTGCTGATTTCCCCCCTAGCTTTCTATCCTTCTTTCTAATATCTCAGGTACCATGCATATCACTGATCAAGTGTACTCAGCACTGTTAACATTAAACATCCCTAAACACACTAGAAATATCTTTTTGTGTCCCAAATAGTAATAAAGTATAATAAAACAAGATTTAAAAAAAGTCTCTCAGTAAAATGAGACTAATTGACTTTTATTTACTTTACTTTAAAGATATATCTTTGCAATGTGGACAAGGAATATTGATATGGTGATGCAACTTCATAATTCTTTGAGGGGAATGCATGCCTATGTAATTGTATACATATGTAGATCTTTAGTTGATGTGAGGTTGGCAATGTGTAAAATACACTTCTTTGTTCTTATAAGTACCAACATATTACTAGGCATAAAACTTCCCAGAAAATGACATTTATAAATACAAAGAAAATGCATTTAAAATATTCTAAAATGGATGGTTTCCATTTATATATTTTAAATTCTATACTTACAAATATAGAATTTACCACTTACATCTCTGATTATGACAAAGTCTATATCTTTTCCTCCAGAGCACAAGACGTATACCACACAAAGTAAATATAATTAGAATGATGATCTTTATTTCACTTACTATTATGACTGTTAATCACTTTAGTGTTGAAACACATAAAATCTTTAAATGTCCAGGTTAAACATGGTAGCTGTGATGAAGATTTTCATGTGAACTGCTGATTTTCGCTATGAATCCACTGTCACATCCACAGGTCTGGGATACATAATATGCATCTTCAACTAACTATATGGACTTCTTTATTCTACTATTGAAATTCCCACAAGAAAGACAAGACAAGACAAGTAATGATAATGAAATGAGAGTTATGGAATGTCAGGGATCCTCTCCTGCTTCAGGAAAGCTGCTCTTCTGACCTACTGGGCAGCAAGTGAGTTTACTGCATTCGGCTTAACATTTGATGTTTGCTTTATTTGAAAAAAAAAAAAAAATGCAACTAAGTGAATAAACAAAGAGTTCTTCATGATGTACAAGCAAGGTTGTTAATGAATCTTCTGAGTAAGGACATTTGGGGAAACAAAAGTATGGGAACAAAGGCATCTTTGGAGACAGTGTCCTTGGAGACAGGGATGTAGCATCAGACAGACAATATGAGAATCAGATTATAAAACTCAAGGTTAGCTTCATTTTACAGTCACATTGCTTAATCTTAGATGTACCAAAAGGGAAGATCATAAAAAGATCACATTTCTTGATTCCTGGTTTGCTACATGAATAGTTTATTTATATTTGAAAAATTTCAACTAGGAAAAAGACATATGTGAAATTCCATATGCTATACTACTTACGGAGTCCTGGTGTGAAGATGTGGGTTATAATGTGCTGGACTGAAAAGTTAGCTTGAACTGTAAGGTTGGTGGTTCAAGCTCACCAGTTGCTCCTTGGGAATGCTATACAGGGTCGCAATGGGTTGGAACTGACTCGACAACACTTGACAACAACAACAACAATATAATACTTATAGAATAATAGATACACTCTAGACATTTATTTGGAGTCCTGGTGTGGCATTGTGGGATACTGCACTGGACTGCAATGTCAGTTTGAACTACAAGGTCAGCATTTCAAGCTCACCAGCCACTCCTTAGAAACCCTATATAGGGTTCCTATGAGTTGGAACTAGTGTGACAGCACTTACCATCAACAACAGCAACAGACATTTATTCATACAAATATATAAAAATATTTTATGTTGCTAAGAAGCTCTGGTAGTGTAGTGATTATGAATCAGGCTGGTAACATCACAGTCAGCAGTTTGAAACTACTAGATGCTCCATGGAAAAAGATGAGGCTTTTTGCCCTTGTAAAGATTTACAGCCTTGGAAATCCTGTACAGGGTCACTATGAGTCGGAACCAACTCCACGGCACATAACAACAACAACAAGTGCCATTAAGTTGGTTCCAAATCATAGTGGCTCTGTATAGGATTTCCAGGGAATAGTTGGTGGGTTTGAACTGTCAACCTGTGGTTAGCTGTTCAGTGCTTACAGAGCCACAGCAAGAGGTCATATATTTTATAGAAGATATTTAAAAGTAAGGAGTCCTGATGTGGCACTGTGGGTTAATGTACTGGACTGCAAAGTCAGTTCAAACAGCAAGGTCGGTGGTTCAAGTTCACCAGCCATTCCTCAGAAAATCTATACAGGGTCACTATGGGTTGGAATCAACTCAACTTGATTGCACTTGACCACCAACCATCACATTTAAAACTTAAAGGAGCCCTGGTGAAGTAGAGGGTTACACATTGGGCTGCTAACTACAAGGTCAGCAGTTTGAATCTACCAGTTGCTCCATGGGAGAAAGACAAGGCTTTCTGCTCCCATAAAGATTTACAACCCAAGAAACCCTATACAGGGTTGCTGAGTTACACTGCACACAGTCCCCATTTAAAAATAAAAAAGCCTTAGTGGTGCTGTAGAAAAAACCACCAGATTGCTAACTGAAAGGTCTTCAGTTCCACTATCTGCTCTGTGGGAGAAAGATACAGCTTTCTGCATCTGTAAAGATTAATAGCCTTGGAAACCCTACACAGCTGGGGTGGGGAAACTTTTCTGTGGAGGACCATTTGCATATTTATAACATCATTCTCTGTGGGACATCCAAAATTATCAACTTAAAAATGATCCTGCTGTATTTGGTCCAACATTTAATTAACTCAACCCAAATGTGATGCCTGGAACTGCTTCTCTGGTGAGGCTACTGAAGTTTCTACTTACAAATGTTTTTCCAGGTTTGCATCAGTCAGTCTGAAGTGCAGTTGATTCTTTGTGATGATAAGTTTTTTTTCTATATTTTATTGTGAATTATGTGATAGTTTACATGGGAGAACATTAGTTTTACATTCATCCTATCGTATATTGTTTCATTGCTATGGTGACAATCCCCATGCAGCAGCTAAAGGGTATACACTACAAGCCTGCCCCCCAGTCATCAACACACAGCCTGTCTCCCTCTCTGTGTCTAAAGTCCCCAGCGCTCCATCTCTCCACGTCATCATCTCTGCCTCTATCTCAGGCATCACTGCTTCTCTGGGTAGGGTCCCAGGGACCTCCACTCCTAGGCTGAAAAGTTAATCACTCCCCTCTTTGCTACAAAATGTCTACCTTTACATTTCCAACCCTCACAAGCAGTCCTGATAATAGTTATTCACTATTGTATCACAAGCGACCCATCCGCATTTCATTTAATCAGCCCCACCTAGACAGATTGTATACTATTCAGTGGAGAGTCTACCTTCCTCCACGCCCTCTGGATCTAGGCTCCATCTTGAAAGCTTATAAGCCAGTCACTTCTTGCCTTTGTAGCCCCCCATCCCCCATTTTGGGTAGCCAATGTCCAAGTTGCCAATCCCTGTCTACTCTGTGTATGGAGGGGGTAGGAATGATCCTTGCTGTAAGGATTTGTTCCCTCTTTTGAGCTACTGCATCCATAGGTGTAGGTCAAGTTCATCAAATTGTACCAGATTACTCTTTCTCTCCTCTTCTTTCTTCTTCTAGTTGAGCCCTGATCATCTAGTCATTGAAGCCAGGTCAAGTGAATATTATATGTAAGTGTGGGTGTTCTTGTGCATATGCCCTCTCTTCTTATCAGTTGGATGTTTCTCTCTCCACTTTAGTCCTCTGTGGCTATGTCACTGACTCTGGACCCAAGAGTCCCCAGGTCTTGCCACACTGCTGACCAACCAGGTCTACACCCGGGTTGTGATGATAAGTTTTGAATCCCAAAGCAGTAAGTTGTTCTGAACATAGATGCATATTTCAATGCATGTCTCCTCCAAGTGGGAAATTCATCATTCTTGTTTAATGTTTATAGAACTCAAGCAGTGGGAGGCTATTGTACCTGATTTTCAGCTCACCATCACTTTGCAGCTGAAGGATTTCATGTTTTCTGTTATCAGGTTATGTTATCATGTTTTATGTTATCCTCATGAAAGGAGTGTAGCAAAGATGTTCAATTCCATTTGTTTAGTTTTATCCTTGTGCATAAGGCTGCTATGGGTCAGTACCTACTCTATGGCACCTAACAACAACAACATTCTTGAGTATTATTCCTTCA